TGCTTCTCATGGGATGGCCGACCGGCATGAGCGAACAAGACCGTGACAAAGAAATCCGTGGCATGGCACAGTACTATGGTGTAGCTGACAAGTTGCAGGGCACCACCACACTGAAGAACAAGCAAGGACTTGGCCACTTCACCATTGTGCACATGTGGGACAAGGACGCGCGCAACACCTTCCTGCACAATGTCAAGAACGACCCGCACAAGATCAAGGGCAACACCATCGTAGGAAGACCGCAGATACCCCGCTACCGCCGTGAACAAGATGCTCCCATGAAGTGCGCTATGAAGGCATTGGCGACCATCTACGGCGGCAACCCCAAATTTCGACCAACCTGGGAATTGCAGGCCCTATGGTATGAAACCGAATGGGTACTAGCAGTTGCTACGGACGCAAACGACGCCACCAAAGTGACCATCTTCGTCCCCGATGACAAGAAGGAGGAGTTTGAGACTCAGTTTGCGGAGGATTGGCCGACATGGCAAAACCGGGGCAACCAGACGGAAGGCAGTCCACAAAAATACCTTCGCATCAACATTATCGCCTTCACCGATGACACTTTGCAGGAGCTGAACGAACGCTACGCAAACATGAGCACGCGCTCCCGCAGCTCCAGACCCTCGGACGACGTAGACATGGCGAATGCTGATGAGGAGGTTGGTTCCCGCACCCCCGCCAAAGGCGGAGGCAAGCGTTCGTCGTGAAATGTACATAGCGACACGCATACTTTGCACAGTGCAACCGCAGACCGTAACAGTCATTCACCTCGTGCACAATGTTCACATACGACCACTTCTTGCACGACCATTACTTCTTCACACCTGCCAATGCGCCGCCCAGCAGGCAAGCCGGGCACACCGCGAAGCAAATCTTTAAAGGAGAATCGTTTCACGACCATTTTTGACGACCATGTTGTATGCAATAATCACACGCTTCAGCGGCTACAGAGACACACTCGGTCAGCAAAAAAGAGAGGTAGGAGGTCTACACTTGCAATCATACAGAGAAAAGCAAACATGGCCACCAAGCGGTCGCAGCACCGCCGGTGGTATAGATGGTGTAAATCGAATGTTGGGTACTTTGAACAAGGCCTAGACAGGCGCCGTCCGGGCAACGGTAGCCTCACCTGCTCGAAATCAACTGCCTCTCAGCCCTTGAAAGACACCCGGAGCGCGGGTTTGTTTGCCTACGAAGACCATACTGAGAACAGAAAGCGTTCACCTCTGTTAACCAAGCTTTTTCATGGTAGTTCACTCAACATTGCAACCCTCAACGCCTGTTCCCTCTTGAAACCTTCAATGCATCACCAAATTGTCCACTACATGACATCAAAGCGCATTGACGTCCTTTGTTTACAGGAAACAAAAGCCAAGCGTACATCATACTACATGATCGATTCGTTTACCTTCTACACATTCAGTAATGCGAGCCCCGACCAGCAGGAGCACTATGGAACGGGTTTTGTTTTGTCGCCTGCGGCAAGACGAGCGCTCTTACGCACACTCCCTAGCAGTAGTAAAGTGGCCGGAATCAGTTTACACACGGGAGCAGGGGAATTTTCCGTCATCACAGGTCATGCGCCGCATAACCAGCACACTGAAGAAACCAAGCAGGCTTTTTACGAAGAACTCAACCAGCTCGTAGATAAGGTGGAAAACCGAGGCCCTTATCTCATTATGGGAGACTTCAATGCACGCATCCATGGTAGAATGCACGATGAGGATCTTGTTTTGGGGCCCCACTTGTACGGGAAAGGTGTAGCTTCAGCTGGAGGCGAGTCAGATAACAGGAGTTTTCTTATCAATTGCTGCGTCCAAAACCAGCTCTTGGTTTCCAACACGTGGTTCAAACATAACTCCGCCAGGCAGGTCACTTACAGGGAAGTAGGAACCACTGCCCTACCCCATGCCTCTGCCGCTTGGGACCCCAACCTGTTTGCACAACTGGATCTGTGTCTTGCCCCTCGGAGATGGAGAAATATTGTGAGGGACGTATCTTCCGATCCTTGGGCGAATGTAGACAGTGATCATTTCCCGCTGCTTGCAAAGGTGAGACTCAAACTGGGTGCTAGGCGCCAACAGGCACCGCGCCCTCGCTGGGATTTCCATAGTGCCTCGCCCAGGAACATCCGCGAGATGAACGAAGCCCTGGAAGCTCGATTGGACAACATACAAAGTAGTGATGATGTGTCACAAACATGGGACCTTCTCCGGGAAGTGTTTGTTCAGGCCATGGAAGAGCACATACCCAAATACCAGTTTACACCTAGGAAACCCTGGATTAGCCAGAGCACCTTGGATCTGATTACGCGTAGAGGTGTCCTACGCAGCCAAGGCGACCTCCAGCAGGTGGCCGAGTACAATAAAGACATTAAGCGTTCTGCCAAACGGGACAAGAAAAATTGGCTCGAAGAGCAACTACAATCGAATTCGTGGGAGCCGATAAAGCAGCTCAAGAAATCGCTCCCTACAAAGATGGTTCGACTTGAGCCATCACCAAGTTTAGGGATTTCACCAACAGCCACAAATGCAGATATCTATGCCGCGCATCTAGAGCAGGTGCAGTGGGCTCCTGCAGCATCACTTGGGGTTGAAGATCTCAGCACGGATCTCTTGCCACATGCTGCCCCGGATATTGAAGAGGGCCCTTTGACCATGGCCGAACTCATTCAGGCCATTAAGCATCTCAAATCCGGTAAGAGTGCGGGCCAAGACAATATTCCAAATGAGTTTTGGAAGAACCTTTCCGGCAAAGGCTTAGAGGCTCTTTTGGACTTGTTTCAAGACTGTTGGAGTCACGGCAAGAGCCCATCGACATGGAAGCAGTCTCAGGTTATAGGCATCTTCAAGAAAGGTTGCGAGAGCGACCCTTCAAATTTTAGGCCCATCTCTCTGTTGCAGACTTGTTACAAACTGTATGCTAGGGTGCTGGCTGCAAGGTTGTATGCAGGTCTGGATCCTGTGCTCCGCGACAATCAGTTTGGTTTTAGGCAAGCTAGGAGTACGAGCGATGCTATTTTTCTTGTAAGACGCATGCAAGACCTTGTAGATGCAAAGCGCAATCAAGTTCTGCACTTGCTGTTTTTGGATTGGAGTAAGGCCTTTGATACGATCAAACCCGCTGCATTACACCTGGCACTGCGTAGGTTGAAGGTGCCACCAACCATGTGCAAAGCAATCTTGGACCTTACGGCGTCTCCAGTTTTCCGTGTTGTTGTAGATGGTGAGGTTTCAGGACTTAAAACTCAGTCCAGCGGAATACGACAAGGATGTACACTTTCACCTTTGCTGTTTATCGCAATGCAGACTGTCATGTTTCATGACATTCAAAGGACCTTCCTTGCAGAGCACCCGCTCGCTGTCACCCCTACCGTTTCCATGTTTGATATTGAGTTTGCTGATGATACTGTCTTGATGACTAGAAATTGTGATCATTTGCAAGCTCTGCTGCAGATTGTGCAAACGGAAGCTGCGAAGTACAACTTGCATCTAAATCATGGTAAGTGCAAGCTTGTGTCATACAACAGTCAGGCGGAAATCAAGTTTATTGATGGCAGTAAAGTCCCTAAGGCCACCTCTGTGGTTTACTTGGGAGCTGTCATTGACTCGCAAGGTAGGCCGGGAAACGAAATCTCTAAACGTATTGGGGAATGCAGGCAGGTCTTCAAGAAGCTAATGCGGGTTTGGAAACACACAGGCATTTCGCGCGAGAGAAAACTACGCATTTATTATGCTTGTGTCGTCAGTAAGTTGACCTACAGCATGTCTACCATGTGGCTCACAGAGAAGCATAACAAGATGTTGGACGCTTTTCATATTAAATGTTTGCGTTCAATTGCAGGCATTCCCACCACTTGGGGAGCTATGGTCATCGGTTGTGAAAGGATCCCCAACGAACAGGTTCGTAGTCAATTGGGAGTGCTGTATCTCTCTGACGAGGTCAAGTTACAACAGTTATCTCTGCTAGGTCACGTTTTGAGACGTCCTTTGACCCATCCAGCCAGGGTTCTCTCTTTCGATCGTTTTCTTCAACCACAAGCATTAGGAGGCCCGTATAGAGCTGGCGCAAGAAGACATAAGTGGAACGCCAAAATATTGGAGTTAGCTATGACCGTTACTCACGACCATTACTTCGGGGCGAGAGCAGGTGTGGGGGAACGTGAAATCAAATCTAAGTTGTTAGAGGTGTCGCAAAACAGACAGACTTGGTCTTCGGTTATTCAGCGTGTCCGTAGTTCCTGGCGTCGCCCACGGGATGCCGACGGTGCCCCACGGCAGTGAAAAAAAAAAAAGGTCTTATGATCACCGCAGGCTTTCCAAGCTAAGGTGTCGAGGGAAAGGTTGATGGATGCGAATAAAATCAAGCTCATGCACTGCATCAGAAAGACATCAGAACAGCCTGTATCGGAGTTCTTTTCTTGGTTTGGTGCGGCTGACTCACGGCTTGGAGGTGTCCTCCGGTCTGTGCACAAGAAAGACTCACATCCGCTTGTGTTCGACATGTCCATTCTCAGTTTTTAGTAGGGATGAGGAAGGACGATGGAACTCCCCGCCCCACCCCCGCACCCCCCCCTGTCCAGCTGCCAAAACGGAAACGAGCGAAATGTGCAAGCCACCCGTGCGGGATAATTGTTCTGTAATCGTAGTAACACCCCAGAACTTCATGAACGAAGCCGCAGAGCTCTCGGGCGTAAGAGGATGGGCTGCGCTCCACAAACTTGACATTGGGCTGGCACTTTGTTCATGGGTCTTCGGTTGACTTGAGCAACCACCGGTACCCGACACAACGGCATTGTCGCTTGTTCTTGTTATCCTTTCTTATGCAAGACCAACTTCTTGTGGAAGCGAAACGGGCGAAGACTAGACGAAGGACAGACAAGAAGCGAGGGTTATGTTATGTTTGATATAGCCATCAAAGGCAAAGCAATTTTGTCCGTAGACGTTGACAACGGATCCGAACACATCACCACAGTAAAAGTCTTCCAGCCACGGAACGTTGTGAAGTCCAGGCATTGGCTGCCTTCAGGATCCACCTCGCACTTACCGTCCTTTCTAGCTGAGTGAAGTCTCGAGGATAAGCCCCCCAAGCCCTGTTCAAGAGACACCGTTGCTGGAACTGCTTCGGACACTTGCCCAGCCTCGTAGATCAGCTGCTGCAGACGCTCGAAAGAATGGCAGTGCCCGAGCCAGCGCAGAGTCTGCCAGAACTAGGCAGGCGCTCCACCCAAGAGGAGAACGACGTATCGGAACCTTTGAGACGTCCTGCCTTGTGTAACCCACCACTTGTAGAAATCCTGAGGTGGGACCACGTGCATGCGACAAGAATTTCGCCAATGTAATGATGCTCGGATCGGAACCTGGAGCAACAGCAGGAGTGACTACACTAAGCTGACCGAGATATTTGCAGCAGGTCGAGCAGCCTGTCTTCATCCTTCGGCTCACTTTGCCAGAAAGCCTGCCGCAGGTCATCCATCTGTGCATCTGTGAAACCTCAGGGGGAAGTGAGAGAAGCATTTCCTGGCCCTCACGCGTTCCGATTCGCTGCCTTCCCTACTTCGCAGGCATTGCAGCAGAGCGCAGATGTCATCGACATCGAGTCGCATGCCTTGCCAATCCTCGCAGCTCATTCTCTGTGTCAAGCGCAAGACGTCAGGGCAGGACAGTTCTGCACTTTGCCGTAGTACTGCATATGGTGCAATTCACAAACTTCCGCGTAGGTTACATGATTCCCGACGCTGCTTCGAACCCAGAGTTGTGGAGATCAACGTGTCAAAACTCTATCTCAGCCGCGTCTCCAGGCGGAGAACGGCAACCTCTGCTTTGGTGCAAAAACCGGCTTGCTGCAGAGCATCCTCCAGCGCACGAAGGGAAAACGCAATCAGAGAGGGCACACGGCACACTTCAGAAAATGCACCAACGTCACCACGGCGAATTGAACCCGGGTTCGGTAATCGCGGCAGTAGAGGTGAAGTACCCCAGGCAACGCAGCACCGCCTGCAAGCTACAGCTGCTCAAGCTCGTAAGCTCAGAGCGAGTGGATGGGCCCACGCAAAAGGTGCACTCCTCCAGCTTGCGTGAAGGCCTCCAGCTCCAACAAGGTGGAGATTTTGCCATCCCTCGACTTCAGGGCGAGGAAATTACGGATCGAGACCAGCTCTCGGTCCTGCATCCAGCACAAAACGCTGTTGGCCCACCGTCCCTACTTGTGAGCACACTCGCTCATCTCTGCATGAAGAGTCCGGCCTGGATGTGGCTCAAGAAAATTACAAACTCGGAAAAGCTCAAGACACCGTTGCCTGCAGCCAATATACTCAAAATGACATAGCCAGGCTTCTGTGCATGGTACACAACAGGCAAACAGTACCGGGCGACTCCTGAAAACGCTCAAGAAATGTGGGACGGCTTTCAGACATTTTCAGACGGTAGGTCAGGCCCCCATTGAACAGTTTCGTGACCGGACCGAGTCCAGGTGCAACTCACTGGCAGGACCAGGGCGGACCTCAAGACCGGCCTAAGTCTAAATCTAAGCCGCTTCCCCTCCCGGAAGTCTGCCACTGAGCTGCCGTTGAGGTCGCTCGTCTGATAAAAGTCACGAACCAGCTCATTGGCAGTCGGAAACCCCAGCCAGCCCATCCTTAGCCCGTCATGCAGCACGTGCACCCTGACTCTGTCCCAGTCCAAGAAAGTTTGCCAAGCTCAAGATGCGGAAAAGCTGCGCGCTGACAAGTTCGCCTGCGGACATGTCTCCAGAGTCATCGCTGTCAAAGTCTTGAAAGACCTTGCGAAATCTCTCTAGCTCCGTCAGCCGAAAGCCTCCAGCACAAAGCTCAGCACACGCATGAAGCTTGCAAGGCGTACACTTTCATCAGGGCTGCATTGCGGCAATGGCCCAACAGGGCTGTTGAATATTGGCTCTTTGGCCGGCCTTCGCGCTCTCGAAGCAGTTCCATCATGTTCGCGACATCAGGAAAGCTTAGAAGCTGCTGCCTCTGGCTCTCTGGCTCTTGGAGGCTTTTCAAGGCATTGTCCGACAACTAAAAATACATGCGTGGCCGACCCGCAGCCACAGACTTCCGCCACAAGCTCATCCAGGACGATCTGACCTGCAGCCACAGCAACCACTGACAGTCGTGCAATCCGAGACATGCACCCACACGCAATGTGTTCGGCCGGGCGGCGTGGTTCCAGCCCAAGCTCTTTCAACAACGGCGCGAAGCTGTCTACTACAATGTGGCCTGATCACTGTCGAGAGTAAATCCCAGATTGACCGTGACAACCGACATCTCAAACCGTCAAAACACGTTCCTTAGGATGAGAGCTGTAAGGGCGGATGCCTGCATGTGCCGGAATCCAGCCAAGGCACCTGCATCCTCATATTTGGTGAACTCAGCTCGGTAGAGATTTAACAGCCCAGACTCGTAGAGGCACACGAAGCTCGTGAATTCGTCTCCTGAGCAACTGTAAGGTAAGCACGCAATGCTGGCGCCGTTCAGTCACGACTTGTGAAGCAATGCCCGCCAGTCCAAGGAACTACAGGCTCGGCAGAAGACTGGGAGATCTCTTCGGCAACAGATTAGCATGGCGGATCATGCTGCCCGAGCGGCGGTCTAGCGTTGCAAAGCGGGTTACTTGTTTGCACGCTTCTTCAATTAGTGCAGGCCGCCGATCACGAAATCCTTATGCCAGCGAGGCCGCCATGCACAAGATTAGATGGTTCTACTGGCAAACCGTGCCGAGAACGGTTTCGTCTAATGCATACACAAGGTCCACAGTGCGCTAAAGCCTTTGACAAGTCGTCCAGATGGATTTCGCCATCATGTCGGTACCGGTTGAAGCTGGACCTTCCGAGTGCGGCTGCACAGTCTTTGCATCTTTGCCCCGCTCGTCTATCCAAAAACGAACCGGCAAGAATAGAAGGACGAGGAATGACTATGACTTTTTATGCAAGTCCACCTCCACTTGGCATGCTCCGCTGAAGACAACCGGCGAACATCCTTGGATGCTGTGGCCATCTCATTTGTTCTGGTGCCAGCGCAGGTCCCGCCTCCCTGGTATCGTTGTCCAATTGCCACTCATCCTCCGGCAGGGATCATGCGGAGACGTGACAAGGCCTCCCAATAGAGACTGAACGGCTGTGCCTTGGCAGCATGACGCTCATGCCCGTCTCGATCGGAGTCCTCGCTTGCACGCCACGGAAGATCGCAGAGAATTTGTCTACACATCGACATACTTCGAACCGTGACTGTACGGGCGACGCAGGGCGTTCAGGTGATGCACCACTACAGAAGCGAGGGCCGTCCTGATGCTTTGCGCCTTGTGGCATCTGTGCAGCACAGCATTGACTGGCCGTCCCGTCAGGATTGTCGTCCTCACTAGCAGCTAGCAGCTAGCACCCAGTCAAGGCTGCAACTGTGCTGAAAGCAAACCTGCTAAAGGCTGGCAAGCCGTCACTGACGAGTAGCGGGTCTCGACTCCTGCATCTGCGTACCGAGGCCACCGAACCTTGGATCATCTTTGTTGACGCTGTACCGTGAGCGCCCCTTGTTGACCTAGTTGGCATCGGCAGGCGCTTCAGAAATGCGCCCACTGAAGTCTCTCTTGATGGCTGGCGGCTGGCGAGCTCTACTGATTTTTCGGCTGTCCCTTAGCGGACAATCTCAAACACAAGCCAATTCAGTCCAAACACTCCGTTGATTCGCTGCCCAGAAGACCGGCGAACCCTGTCTCGCCCCAGGTGTCCCTTCGGCTCACTTGCCTCACCTTGGCTCTGCAATCCTGGATCGTATTTTCGTACCCCGCTACAAACCCCAGATTCGTGCAAGACAAGAACTCCAAGCCGGCAACGGGTGCGCACGCTTTGGAGGCGGAGCCTGCAAACAAAGGGGTTGCAGCCCAAGAGCTACTCTGCTGGTCCACATGCCCATCCATCCGCCTTTATGTACAGATCAGGACCCCGGGTTTGTCGCTCAGACTTCAATGCGAGCAGTCTGAGGAGCAAAAGGGAGCTACAATCATCAAGTCACATGGCGATGTCTTTTCAGCTAGATTAGAACCTGACTGTTCCCTGAAGGTGCTCCTTCCTCGGACTCCTCTCGGCTCTGCAAATTGCGACGGAACACCGGAGTGACTATTATTGTATATGTTTGCACCCTTACCGCCGAAAGTAGTGTGCATTGTGTTTAGGGATCGGGCAAGGAAGGGAAGGGACCCCCCCCACCCACAGGAGCAGTATGATTGTTATTGTGTTCTCTTGAAAGAAGAAAAGGAAATAATAATGATAATAATAATAATAATAGTAGTAAACTCTCTCCGGGGGGGGGCGAAAAAAATCATAATAAAGGCCCGCGGGAGGCTGCCCATCATTTTGTCGCGTGCTTCTTGCCTTCTTCCTGCGGAATCTAGATACAATGAGCATGTAAGGATGCCCTCTTGAACTGGCGTTTCATGTTCGAATCAAAAGACGAAGTGCTCAAGACGTCTTTACTCCAGGTGCGACGAGTCGGAACTTACGATACACAGTGTGGCATGTCCACGACGTCAGTAAAAGTATTTCTCAAGGCTGGCAAAAGAAAATCGATCTGTGATGTGTATAGGCCGACTGCTTGATTGTAAAATGTATTGCCGGAGTGATGTGTGACATGCCGGCGTGTCTGTACGCATATGTACTCCTACAAGCAAGCATCCTGACGGGAAGAAAGCAGGAAACCGCTTGATCTCGACAAAGCCTCAAAGCATGGAGCAAGCAATCAAACTCAGCTCAGGCATAGAATGAATTGCAGTGCACAGAATAAGAGAATGGTGTGCACAATCCGAAACATAGCACCGTAAAGTGCTCCGTGCCGTATGTTTCGGACGGCATCCACGCACGATGCTTCAAGCTTCGGCTCGGAGGACGTCACAACTGAGTGAGAAGACACATGCCCCGCGAAATCTCAACCAGAGTCAGCCAACCTCAGCATCTCATGCTCAGCTAGAAAGACGAATCAAAAGAAAATGAAGGGAGAGACGGTTCCATGTGACAGTGCTCCAGACCGAGCGCCACAGGCTAGCAAAGCACTGTTGATAGCAAGCTTGGGCTCAAAACTGGGGAAAAAGGCTTAGGACTTGCATGAGCAGAGAGAGTAGTCAAGTAGTCCCCAAGGCCACAAGAAGCGTATCACAGACACTCGGAGCCTCTCGCCGAGCTCACAGAAGAGTCTCTCGACAGCCGGCGAGCTGGAGGTCTCAGTACCCGGGTAGTTAGAATTAAAAGCTTCCGAAAGCCGACGACCCGACTCGCTCAGACCGCTCAGGCTCAGAGATCCACGATGGCTTCCAGGCAGCACGCCGCTCAAGCCTCTTCAAAATTTGCCGCGTCTCGCATCTCGTTCAGAGGCATGACCAAGGAAGGGCAGTTTTTGTTGCTTCCGCCGTTTAAGCGTGCTCCAAGACCTTTTCTGGTTTTGCATGGACCGTTGTCCCAGAACGTGCCTGAAGTTCAGCTGCGGTCTCGTCGCACTTGGAGGTGGCAGAGTCAAGTGGAAGGTGGTGCTGACAGAGCCATCACGTTCCAACAGCGGCTTTGGTGCCCGAGGTGTCTTGAAGGAAAATGCCAGCACCTCAAAACCGTGTAAGAATTTCTTTCCCGAAGCACTTGCCGGACCACACAAGCCGGACTGGAGCCAAGCCACGGGTTCTGACAGTCGCCGTGGTCGAGGCCGGCACTTTCCAGCTGCGCTTCCTGAACTCCGCAACAAACGGCACACAACTCGGCGGGAGATCTCAACAAAGCCGAGGGCGCGATCTCTGGTGCACTCGGACTGGAGCTCTGCGGCGCAATGACCCTGTCGAAGGCTCTTGCTATCGGATAGCGAACAGCACAGCTGCGCAGCTGCGTGGTGTCAAATTTCAATCTGTGGCAGTCCTGCATCGTTACCGGGCTTGATGCTCGCCGCTGATTGAGGTTGGACTCATCTACCTGCAGGAGGGCAGAGGGTTCGTCCGGTGCCGGAAACCTGGACTTCAACTCGAGACTCAAGCGCAACAATGCACGCCAGCAAGAGTGCACCTTATCACATTCCTTCGACATGGATGGAGGGTGCTCCCCCTCCTCCTCCAGCTGTCTTAACCTGTCCAGCAAGGTCTAGCAAACTGCTCTTGCACCGCTTGTTGGAATGTGGCTGATGCGATCTGTTTCGCATCCTCTCCTTCGGGTTCTTGCACGGATGCTCCCGATACGATCATGGACTTTGCCTTGTGCAAAAAGCCGGGCCTGCGAACACTGAAGCGGGTACAGTGCATGACAGCTTCGAGAACTTTGAATGCTGACAAAACTGAATGGCCTCTTCGATGGCTTCCATTCGGCGAGGGAAGCGGTTTCGGGAGTCTCTCAATCATGGCACATCGCCAAAAGCCCTGTCTGGGGGCTAAGTGAGCAGTAGCGCTGCGGGGATGAACACCCACCATCTGTCACGCCTGTGAAAGTCTTCTATGCATCATCGGAATGACGAAAAGAATCGCTACTGACCGCTACTGGGAACCGAACTGACCGCGGCATCTGCAGGACAGCTAGCCATCCACACCACTGGCACCAACCCCAAATCCTGACAGCCGGCTCACTGCGAAAGTCCATGCATAAAAACTAACATGATGTGCTCAATTAAGTGCTCGGTATTGCTGCCTGGAAATGTGTCCACTACCTTCGGAAACTTGCAGAATGGGATGCTGCATTTGCGAAGCCCGATCCGGCCTTGGCTTCTCTGACCCGCATCACCATGACCTGCAGGAATCAGCCACTGACGGCAAAAAACGTCTTCCCAGGGCACCTCGTCATCCATTCCAGACCTCGGCGCTCAAACACGACAAGAGCTCCCAGCTCCCGCTTGCCTTCAAACCGTGAAACCTCGACGTGCAGCTAATGTGCAGGAACTCGGGGGCAGCAGCCCGCGCCACAGCAGAAAGGCTGAAAGCGCTCCAAGCACCAACGAGCACGTGAAAAAGGAATGTCCATGACGGAGGAGCCTGTCAGACAATCTGTCAGCCAGCACAGCGGAATGAAATGCAGTCTGTTAAGCCCTGTACTGCCCCGCCTCGCCAGAAGCGCAAACTGCTTGCGGGGTCCCAGCAGCAGGCATGATTCATGCGTTGTGCATGGACAAGTCAGCAGCACAACCAAGTGTCCCCACCTTTCCACACTCACTAACAGTGACTACACTGAGCCTCCTGAGCGAGGAGCCGATGCTGAGTCGAGAGATTGCATCCTAGCGATGTGACCCCTCCAAAATCCTCGGAGACTGGCGTGCGAGCATGTGCGAACGGCATCTGTTCTTTTGCTCCATCGCTTCATCCACTGGGTGTCGAGCAATCAACTGCTGCCAAGGCAGCACTCATCTGCTCTGCACGGCTCGACACGAAGAGTGTGAATCTGAGTGTGGGATTTCAATCTGCTGCCCATGTTCTTCGCCCAGCTGGCCAAAACGTCTTCGCTTATGATTCCATACCACCGTGGCGTGCACGCAACTGAGAACAAAGAAGACCAACACGAGAACATAGTTCAACGCTCTCCACGGTCTTTCTGCCTTTGCAAGGCAGCCAAGACCTGCTGCAAGCCAGCCCAGTATCAGAATTACACCCGATTGCAGCAGAGCAAGCGCACTTTTTGTATCGTCCCGAACCCTGCTGAATATGACAAGAAATATGTTGCAGCATGTTGCAGCTGAGCCGAAACCCACATGCCATTCACCAAGGCTTCCAGCGTTTACGCTGCTGTTTGCCAAGGGTCCAAAGCTGAATCCTGCACCAACACACTGAAAAACGCAGCTTGCCACAATTAAATGCTGCCGCTTGTAAGTTGATTCCGTTGCATGCACAATCAGTTGAAGAGCAACTCCGAAGGATGCCAACAAGCAGTGAAGAAGGGCCCCCCAACTCGCAAGAATGGGTTGAGGTCTCGAGCCTCCGGAGCAATGTCGACACTGGAGGTCTTCCCAACAACACGCGCCGGCTGAACAGATCTTGGAGTTTCCAAAATCGCCGTCTACAGCCAAACAATGACAATCTGCTAAGACCGCAGTGCTGTTACTCGGGCTGCAAATCTCTTGCGGCTGGCCATCCCTGAACACTGTCAAGGCATCAGCCACGTACGCAAGGCCACCGTACCCTGTAACGCAAACAGCAAAGAAGCTGCTGCTGTTTGCGTCAGTCGGGCTCATCCACTGCCAACTCCTCAATGAATGCTTTTCTGCGTACATGGTGCATGCTGCCGAAGGCCTGGATGGTTCTTGCTGGAAGGCGCCTGTACTCGAAATGATCACGTGGCCGACTCCGCCGGGCTCGTTCGTCTCCACAGAAACCGAGTACAGCGTATTGACTTCAAATCCTGAAGTGCGAACGCTTCAACAGTTCAAGAATCACAGTCGAATAGAGCATTGAGCAGACTTTCGTCGCTGCTTAGCTATGGGACTTGTGCGAAGGGTGCTTTGGTTCTCTTCAGAAAGGGATGCTGTGGTGGCCTGTGTTTTTCCTGCTTCGTCCAGAACTCTTCCTCATACCGTCAAGGATGCACCAGAAACAGACAAGAAAAAATCTGCAGGCGCCAATCTCAGCCTAGATTTCCAGTGGGCGGAATGCTCGTTGAAAGCCTGCAGTTCGTTCGGAACGACTTGTTCTGGAATCGATCCTTGGTTCTACGGCATCTGGCGCAATTCCAAAGCCAGGCTTCTTCACTAGGAGGCTGGTGGGGCACTATGCAATCCCCCGTTCATGCAACCTGGGTCGTCACAACGTCGGGCCAGATGCCTGCAAGATGCTATGCTCATGATTTCGAACGGGTCACCTGGCTGGAGCTTTCTCATGAATTCAGCCGTTTTGAACTGCCAGAATTGTGGGTACGCCAAGGTCGATATGAGCCGAAGTGCCAGGATGCGAGCGCCGCACATGGCCACAGGACTCTGGCAACCCACGTTGCTGTAAAGAAAGAAGACATGACAAGTTCTCTTCGCCGTGTTCTACACGCCTGATGGCTTCACGCAACCTGCGGAGATGGCTGTGAATGCGACATAAGCTTCGATTTGCAGCAAAAAGCCAAGCATGCAGTGCAGCCTGGCTCTGCAACCAGCAGTGCAAGTTAATATAATTTTAAAAATGCAACAAGCAAACATGTCCGGCATTCGGATCACAGCCTTTCATAAGTCTGTTTTGGAGCTGCAACATACCGTCGTCGGACCTGCGCATTGCACAAGCCCTCCAGCACGCCTAAAACACAGCTGCTTGTCAGAATTGACCTGTTGTCAACCGCTTCTTATCCCCGCTCATAGCCGGAATAGTGTACAAACAGGTGTGCACACACCGGCACAAAGAGACCTTTGCTCTTCAAAAGCCATGCCCTTCTCGACTAGAACATCTACTATTCTGTCATAAAGGGCACATCCGTGCAGTTGATGGATGTTACCGTGGGCACGATGCATGTGTTGCCTGGATCTGTGATCTCTGTCAAATACTCCCATGTGGCTTGCGTCATCTCCAACGACCAGGACCGGATGTCCACTTGGAACACCACCACCGTTTTGCCGGTCGTTGCGTAGTAAATGATTGCACACAACCCACGAACCCCATCCAAAACTCCATGGCCAATGCCGGTCATAGCCGTGGTACCGTCTGCCAACGTGACTTCTGTGGCTCCCTTGTCGATCCATTTCGTGTAATTGCTGAGGCACTCGTCATACGACATCCATGGCGTGGCCCCAGCTGGGTAAGGGCATGCGCTTGAGCTTGCAACGTTGCCGTAGTCATACCCATCTCCATTGGAGTTGATGATGCATGTAGCGTCTTCTGAAGTGTTCACATAATCAACTCCTGCACTCGAACATCGGCTTATCATTTCTGTGGTATCATCCGGAGTCGCCACTTGATCCTCGTCCTCAGGGTACCTGTAAGTCCGGCTGTACGTGCAGGCAACGCCATCAGAAGGATCGGAAGGAGAGGGGTCGTCGCCATCATCGTTGTCCTGGCAGCTGTGTCCGTCTCCACACTACGTTCACCCGAATTGAAGATTGCAAACACACCAGTTCCATGCCTCGGCAAAAGTCGAGTCTAAATTCCGCATCAAATACGGAACCCTTTGCTCAACTATCCACAATCGTTGTTGGCCGTCCTTGCTCCCATAGTAACCATAACGCTTGCCGCCACGTGGCCACCATCCAGAACGCTTCCAAGGCCTGCAAATCACATCAGAGCGACAACAACTAGTAAAGGGACGCAAACATCGCATACTACAACTGATCAGCTGCCACGACACCTGACTTATAGTCTTCCAAACCCGGCGTCCTCTCGCACCCGTACTCTCCTAATGTAATCGGAACGTGCGGGTGTGCCTGGAAACTTGCACCAGACCTGTCTCCTCTTTCGCGCAATTTTCGTTCAAACAGCTAGCCGCGATTTTCCAAACCAGCACAAGGACAACGCCGCAACCACACTTGCTCCACAGCATGGCGCCGACAGATCGCAAATATTGGCAGATGCGGGGCCAAAGCGCTCTGGATTCAACCCGTCATTCACTCATGCATGAGTCACAGTTGCAGGCACGAGTTGATCCTTTCACTTTGCAAAGGAGCAAGATTAAATTCTGTCGGAAGCTAAATGGATGTGTCGTCGACTTTTCATGTTCGATGCGAGCCGGGAAAGCCTTCGTTCCGAAGCTTCTGTTGTTTTTGCAAATTCTCATCTTTGTAAACCGATCTTCGACGACCATCTGTGCTTACAATGGTCGTTATAAATTCCGGGAAACGCGCCCGCAGTACCGGGTCTGATCAATTCGCCGAGCCTGAATGCAACGAACTAGCCGCAACGAGCCAAACACTGCAACATCGCTCATCCATCATTGCGCGCAACTCGCGCTCCGGCCTCGCGGCAGCACACGGGCAAGGGCATGCTCGAACGGCAGCACCGGAGTCGGAAGGACGCCCGCAGTCCACCAGAGGGCCGAGGCTGTGACGGCAGCAGCGGCAAGTGCGGGGGCAGAGCGCTAAGGGAAGGCGCAGCCATAGCAGGACCCGGAACTGCGCGCTGGCAATAGTGACATCATCGGAGGTGGGGAGAACTCGGAGAACAGTAAACACACGGCCAGAGTGTGGCCCGGCCTGGGACAGCAGCAGGGCACGAGACGAAGGCGAAAGGTTAGTAAAGTGTTTCTCGAGCGCGCGCTCGTCCCAGGCTCGGTTAGCCCGGCATTGCCAGCCACGCAAGTAATCAACCCCATCCGCTTTCGGCGGCCGTGCCAGGCGGAAAAAACGATGTTGCCGAGGGCGGTGTCCCAAGCAGGGGTGCGAAAGTCCTGGCCGACAAGGTGAGCTGCAGCTTGAGCCGCTGCCGCGACGACTGGCGCACGGCCGGCATCAGGGTCCGCGAGCAAGGCGAGGAACCGCACCGCGGCTGCAGGCGCACGGTCCCGGAGCATGGGCAACATGTCAAACCAGGATGCCCAGTACGCGGCGTGCCGGTGTGGCCGCTCGCAAGCCGAGCCCGCCGCATTGCAGGGGTCGACGGGCGCTGAGCATGGAAAGCTCAGGCAGCCGGGGTGTTCGCAGAGCCGAGCGTGGCACGCAGGCATCTGTTACTCACCTGTTACTCACGCGAACTGACGGTCTCGGCCATTTGGCCCATCCCGGAGCAGGGCTCAACGGGGAAGGATAAGTTGCGAAATTGACCTACAGGCACTCTACGCAGCTTGGAGAAGCTCCAAAGCCACGTAACGCAGGTGCCGAAAAAGCGGTTGCTAGACTACGCCTGGGGCGGGGAGAAGCTCACCTGCACGATCAAGGGAGACACTCACCTTGCACGTCCTTCTCTGCTACTCACCACGTGAGCTCAACAGCACCGCAGGAAAACCTCACCCCGGCAACTCGCTTGAGAGTCCGCCAGCGAGTAGCTCGCCTTTGGACCTGACCCGCACCCATCACCGAGCAGTGAGGTTATGGGTGGAAAGAGCTCTGCGCTGCATGATTCCAGCTGCTTTTACGTGTTCCCTACACGGTTGGCATTCACTGAAAAGTTTCCTGAAGATGCTTTGGGGATTTGTGGCTGCACGGCTCACCGTGGTTTAGAGCTGCCTTGCTTCCCTCAGAAATTCAAAACCAGGAAGAGCCCAGACAGAAGCCCCGTGCCTGTAAGTAATGCTCCAAAGCCAGTGTTGCCTTTGGCCGTCCGTCTAAAGTAGCAGACAAGGCCTAAAAAGCTCAGTGGGGAGTAGCTCACATGCAGACGGAGCCCCAAAAACTGGAGACTGGCAAACTCACACACGCCAAGCTTGCCATTGGCACATGTGAGCAATCGAAACGTTTAACAACCCAGACTGCCAAACCAACAGATGTGAAGCCGAAATAAGCACCCCCTGCCTGGCCCAATCCCAACCGCACACGCTCATCACCGTATGAGGAGAAAACTCAACAGCATACATGATCGGTTCTAACGTTTTCCGCCTCCGCCACACCCAACAAACAACAGAGCCCCACCGACAAGGCTCGGGTCTAAACCTGGGCGCTACCATTGAGCAGATGGTGACAAGACAGCTCATTACGGCCTTAGGGCCTGGAATAGAGGCTGGGCCACAGTAGGCCCTGGTTTAACCTTACTTTGAGGCGTGGGTTTACTATCAACCCTACGGGAGCAGAGCTCTACCAGCACAGTTCGCGGCGCCCGCCAGACTACAGAGCTGGGGAGCCCCTGCACGCACTCTCAAGAGGAAACCTTAGCCCAAACGCAGCTTCGAAGCAAGCAGAGGAGAAACTCGACCCTGCAAGTTATTGAAACGGAACTATATACAAAGACGTGTAGGAGCTGGGCGTGCCGTACAATTGCCGGGCGAGGGGCACGAGTGTTCGCAGGTCAGGGTGACGGAGCAAAGCACCGAGAATGGTTTCCCGCGAGACGTCGTCGAACGCACCGACGGCGTCCACGAACAACCCGGGCAACGGCTTCGGTGCCAGTTCGCGTGCTCAGGCCATGTCGTTTCGTTGTGTTTCTCCATTAACACTCCGTGTCCGCAGCGATATCAGAAGCAGCTGCAGAACGGCGTCTCGAGCCAAAATAACATGTTCCTGTAGCGGCAGACCGCGTCATCCTGTTGACATATTCTGGTCTTGCCTGGTACCAGGTTTGGGTGGTACCAGGCTTGGGTGGCACCAGGCTTGCCTGCTACCAGGTTTGCCTGGTACCAGGCTCGGGTGGTACCACGCTTAGGTCTTGGGTGGTGCCAGGCTTGGGTGGTACCAGGCTTGGGTGGTACTAGGCTTGCCTGGTACAGGCTTGGGTGGTACCAGCTTTCCTGGTACTTTTTTTTCACACACACCTTTTTCTGTCTGCGGACAGTCGGAGCGCTCCTCGTACCAAGCTTGGGTGGTACCAGGCTTGGGTGGTACCAGGGGCTTGCGTGGTACCTAACAAGTAGTGCTAACAAACGCCACAATCGCGTGCAGGTGCTAACTGTCACGTAATTATAGCTACAACAATCGAGACGACAATCAAATTAGCGACGCAAAAAATTCCGAGGCTCATAATATAAGATAGGGAGGGGCACAGTGCTAGGATGCGCCCACCTTTGATTTCGAACACTGCGTCGAGCTGCTGCGCGTTGGAGGCGGCCAGCGCGAGGAGCTAACACCACATCGCGCTGTTGTGAGCGGCAGTGGTGGTACCTGGCATGCATGGGGCACATCTATTTCCAAGCTCGTAGGGGAACGTTTTCACACAGCTCGCAGCGTCCCCGCCCGGCGACAGCAGCCGTGCTACAGACGCACAGTGTCCCCCGAGCATTCGCGTATCAGTGGCCGCCGTTGCCGGGTGCTGCCAGCCCGGCCGTCCGATGCGAGGTGCCCCCTAGGTGTGTCGGAGTTGTTTTCGAAAGGCATCGCCCATCATGGTGCTCGGAAGCCTTGTGCTCTAAGTATGTTTCGGCCAGTGCTGCCGCGCGACTGTTGAGGGGTGTGCCAACCGCCTCCGCATCGAGAAGTGGGCGGACAAGTTCAACAAACACAACCGGCTGTCGGTTCCACAAGACCTGCAGCATGGCCTGTCGGCGGACCCAAGCCCGAGGCCTACTAATCGAAGGGCTCGCCGAGAGCTCAGTCCTGGCAGTTTCCCTGCGTTCGCGCCCCCAGGGGGCAGTGCCGCTAAGCAGCTGCGGACTCAGGCGTCATGCTGGACTGCGAAATCCCCATCTGAAGCCGCCTCCTTTAACCGCCGCCGTAGGTTGTCGCCTTGGTATTGGGCCCCTTGCACTGGGACGGCGCGGTGTGGAGGAGAAAAAAACCGTCGTGTCAGCGGGTGAATGTCTGGAACAAGTGCACGCAACGCGAAGGCACAGTGAAGGAGTAGCAGCCACGCACTTTGCTGTAAATGAGGAATGCGCAGGAGTCCCTGAAGCACCGGTTGTGCTCGCGCAAGTTTTGTTTGAACGGACGGCTCCCAATCGGGCTACCGGGCACTACGATCGTTTGCTATGCACGGGGGGGGCTTACTTCCTGTCCAGCATGGGTTCGCGGGCACGGCGGTTCTGCTCCTTGCCATGGTGTCTGGCGGGCCTGTCGCCGAAGAATGCCTAATCTGGCTGGTTATTATACCAAGGTATGTCGAGGGTGGGTCAATTCCGTCAATGCAGCATGTTGCCCCAATGCCAACAAGGCTGGCATAAGGGGTTCCCCCATTCCGACCTTTCTCCTTGGTGTACCTCGTGCACGGTTTTTTGGCCGTTGTGAACAAGTAGGCGCTAGGGGATCTATAGAACATGCTTGCATACCGCAACATACCACTCAGTGCGCTAGCGCTGCAAGCATGCCTTGGCGCGACATGTGGTCGTACGCCCCGACACCACTGTCACTCAGCGCGGTGGTTCGTCGGTCATAGAACACACAAATATGTGGGACGACGCATGTGTGGTTCAGCCTAACCATCGAGTCCGGCTAGCATGGAATACGTTCCATCGACATCCGCGTGTTCTGGTCAACAAGCATGTCGACGTTTTTTGATGCCGTCGTGACGCAGACGATGCTGTTCGGCTTACACACATCGGCCCTCACGGCCGTGCAACTATCCAATCTTGAATCCATTAAAGGTGGATGCTGCGATCAATGATTGGTTGGACCAGAATTCAAAACGAGACTTGGCACGACACCATGAGTCGCATGAATACGAAAGTGGCCACGGCATTACGTCAACACCCCATCGAAAACATGGACAACATGATTAGCCAAGCGTCAACATTCCTTCGCTTGCCGAGTTGAACAAGCAAATGGTTGGGAGGCACACGTGGTCATGTAGAATTCCGAGTTGAACTGGCACGACAACTTCTCCCTAGCACCCAAGTGCCGACAAGGACGTCCACTGACTCGATGGATGATAAAATACGAGTTTCCTGCATGGTAGGGTTTTCCGAAACGCAATGAAGGATGTACGTACGCGAAAGCAGTGCTTGGAAACGCAAAGCCGATGATTTCG